CCGTAACAAGAAAAGGCGATGAACCTGGTTCTTTATAAACATTTGCTCTCAGGGAAGCCAGCTGCCATGTGAGAAGTCTGCCATGCTAGAGGGGTGTGTAAGGCACTCTGGTTCGCAGCCCTAGCTGAGCTCCCACCTGGGCAACAGCCAGCATCAACTGTCAGGCACATGAGTGTACCACCGTGGATGTCCAGCCTAGATGAGGCTTCAAACAACAGCAGCTGCAAATGATACCTGATGAGAGACTCAAATAACTGCCCAAGCAAGTCCTTTCTGAATTTCTGGCACAAAATCAGGAGCAAAATAAACTAGCTATTCCAAGTTTGGTATAACGTGTTCACTCAAAGAGCAGCAATAGTAACCCAGTTTATCAACTAATTTAGAACACAGTGAGCAGCATGGGGAAAAGAGATAGATAAACAAGTTTAGAATAGGGTATAAGCAGGGTGAGGACTATGGTACCTAAATTTTGTTTTATGCAGTATTTTTATGTCCTAACCTCTCTGCTGTACAGTTCCACAGATGGCATGGTTTTAAGGACCAGAGTGGAGAGTGAGGGGTTTAGGCAGATTGAAGGGGCCTGGAACCAACATATATCTGTTCTGTCACACATCTGAGTGATAAGAGGCATGTGTGTTGGGTCATAACTGTAGATGGCCATTAACTGACTGAGTAGCAAGGGATTTATCTGCCTTTCTTGTGCAGAGAAACTATATGAAGCCATAATGGGGCTATAATGGGTTTCACTAGTAGGTGACCAATTTAGGGATGACCTAGTTGTCAGTCTAGAGGTAGTATGATTCATGCCTTACTAATATTTAAAGTTCACTTGGCCTATCTCCTTTCTAAAGTAGCACTTTCATTTGTTCCATCCTTTTTATCTATGTTCAACACACATTCGTTTATTCTGTATAACATGTCTCATAAGCAAATTGTGTCTACATTTTATTATTATTATTATTATTAGTTCACATGATTTTACTTTTCGCCTATTCCTAGAGCTCCACTGGCTTCAAAAGGCAAATAATTACACCTTCAACTTTATTGGTATGGTAATGTTATCTTCTTCCTTCTTCACTAACTTTTATGGCCCCAACTCTAGAATTAACTTACTGAGGCAATTTGTGTCTACATTTTAGTTTCTCTTATTTGCTATAGCAGAACTGAATATTCATAAAGCAGACAGCAAACACATTACAGCAAGCCCCAAGGAGCAAGCACTTATCAAAGCATGGTTGTGATGGCCCACTTACCGGCTAGAGCAAGTCACAAAGCCAAGCCCACAGTCATGTGGGACAAGGGAGTAGATACCATTAGGCATGATTCATTGGGATCACTACTCAATCTAACACTAAAACATAGCTAGGAAGTGCTTGATCCAGTTATCAAATTTTCAGCAATGTTTCTGGAGCCCATACACAAAACTGGTGTCCTGGGGGCTGCTGGAAATTCTTACTGAAGGGCTTTTTCAAGCCTCTCTTCCCAGGCCCCACCCCAAGCCCAAGTCAGAATCTCCTGAGGGTAAGGGATATAGAGGGGGAAAGTGGTGGAAATCTTAAGAATTTGAGACTTTAAATAACTCTGCAGAAGATTCTAACACCCACCGGAGGTGTTGGGGGTTTCAAAGACAAAGTCTCTACACTTAAAGAACTTGCATTTCCACAGAGAACACTCTTAATGGGCATTATTTTACCAGAGGCATTGCCCTGAAATTTAAAAAAAAATGTAGATGCTTTCCAAGTTTAAGTTAGAGCAGTGATTCTCAAACTTTTGTGCGCATCAGTATTAACTGGAGTGCTTGCACACAAAGGACTGGGCCAACTCCCAGTTTCTAATTCAGGGAAGTCTCTGGTGGAGCACACTAATTTGCATGTCTAATAAGCTCTGCTGTCCAGGGACCACACTTTTGAGAATCACTAAGTTGAAGCAGTAGGAGTATTTAGTGATAACATACCCCCTTGACTCACATTTGTAATATAGCATTTACATTTTTTATAGCGTATCTATTGCATACAAGGTCTAGGGCTTGGTGTAGCAGCAGATATGATAAGAACAGGATTTAGATCTTGATTACACTTGAGCAGATTTATTCTCTAAGTAGATCCGTTCTCTAAGAAGACAGGAAGCCTAAGTGTCATTACACAGGTTCAGATAAAGTGAAGATCATCTCCCTTAGGAAGAGATAAATGAAAGCTTGCAATAGGAGATCCTAAGACCTAGGCCTTGAATGGACACGTGGAAACAGTGGAGAATCGCAGAATTCTTTCCAACTTGGCATAGAGGAAAAAAAAAAAAAAAGACCAAATCAACAAACCTTGATAAACGCCTGGAAGCGGTCTGTGACATTCTTGCCTCAGGTTCCAGCATTAACAATCTGCAAGCTGATTACATCAAAACAAAAAAGGTTGTTCTCAGTGCCAAGGTCTCAGTTTCAAGCTCTCCTTGGAAAGGGGTAGAATTGGAGTCGCCCTCCCTTTGGAGCTCCCAGAGTGGGTGCCTCAGAGACAAGAGTGGCCGAAAACTAGATGCGCGCCGACCTGGCAAAGGGCGCGGCTTGTGCGCTTCCATCCCCCAAAGCCTGAGCAGGGCGCTGCGGCCTTGCCCGTGCCGGGGAAGATGGGCCGCACCCTGGAGCATCGTTCAGAAGCAGCCTAGGAGTTACGCATGGCGCTAAGGTGGACCGGATGACAGCTGCACTACCTCACCGAGCGAGGGACTCAAAGCTCTCTTCCTTTTTTCCCTCCGCTGGACTAAAACGTGGCGGAGGCTAGCGCAAGCGGGGCGCGCCCTCTCTCCCTCCACCTTCACGGACCGGAGACGGTGGAGACGCGCGTGCACGCTTCTTACCCGGGAGGGAGCGCGGCCCGCGAACTGCTCGCTGCGCCTGCGCGGCCCCGCCCCGCCCCGCCCCTTTTCTTCGCTCCGCCCTGTTACCCCTTATACCACCACTAGGGGTAGAGGCGACGGCTGCGGCCTGACAGCGCGGCTGCTTTGAGGGCGCGGGAGCGGTACGGAGTGGGGACGAGGGCAGGCAAGAGGGTGAGAAAACCGGCGAGAGAGGAGGGCGGTGCCGGAGAAGGGCGGCGCGTGGCTGACTCATCCCTCTGGAAGATCAGACTGACAGACACAAACCCTTGCCGAACCCGCCCGCCCGCGCTGCTCCTCCTCGGCCGGGAGGCGCCCGCCCGCACCACCCGCCTGCCTTCTCCGTGAGCGCTCTCCCGGCCCGGCCGCCTCTGAGAAAGTTTTTGTCGTCGGGAGGGACCGGAGGCGCTGTGGGCCTTTGGGAAGGGAAGAGAGACGGAAGAAGAGGCTACAGTCGCGCGGGCCCGAGGAGTGCATGGTGCCCGGCGTCTCGGCTGCCTGTCAAGAGGACATCGGGGCGGGGTCGGGCTGAGCCCGGCTTCTTCTTCCCGCAGCCTCGCCAGAAATCTCCCTCCCGGGCTGCCGCGGGGTCCCCGCTCCTCAGCCCGCCATGTCCCGGCTGCTGCCGCTGCTGAGGAGCCGGACCGCGCGCAGCCTGAGGCCGGGCCCGGCCGCCGCCGCGCCTCGGCC